TTCAAAAGTCCAACTCCACCAGCGAGTGCAAGTAACCAAACGGGACTCTGGCACATTTGTAAGTGCAAAGTCGAACTCCCTTTTAAGGTGCACTTACAGTAAAAGCAGTCGCCTTGTTCTACCCACCATGATTATCATGGCCTAACCACGTGTACTAGGGATAAGCAAAATGATTATCATGGCCTATACCACGTGTATTAGGGACGATAATAATAATAAAATAAACATATAGCATTGCTTTAATGAACATAAAGGGAGATATGTCTCTTTTAGTACATGAGTGCCATCCTACCGTGACTTTGTATTGTGAATAAATAGAATTTGAATCTCACGTTGACTAGAAATACAGCATTTCGGATTCCTTCTTTTAAAATTGAGCCATTTCTCTGTTTACGGCATTCTATGTTCAATGTACATATTTCAACGATGTTTCTCTCTCATTTATTCCTAAACGTCTGAAACCAGATAATTTAAAATGTTTCATCATCATTTATAAATCGATCTTGAAAAAAATAAAACAGCACGCGAAACTAAATTTTAATCAGAAAAAAATGATTATACCATTTGCTTTTTTTATTCTTCGAAAAATCGTGGAATGTAAAATAAAAACTCTGTGAATCTTGTGTAAAATTAATTTTGACTTTTTCTCTCTTTTTGTTTGTTTGTTTATATTGAGTAATACACTCACTGTGAATTCGGATTTTTTATTGTATTTTTTATGCTATTATTTATTTAGATTTAGGTATTTAGATGTTTTTACAACGTTAAATTCTTCGTGTTTTCTTCCCATTAAGCAAATTCAGCAAACTCCACCTCAACTACCGTGGACCTAAATTACACTAATGAATTGATAATTTTAGTTTTAATTAGTATAATTTTTAATTAATCTATATTTATATCGTTAATTCAGTAATTAATTCTAACAAAATATTCAACATTATTTTGATAATATGTGTGTCTAAATAAACTTAATTTCTTGTATATTTATTGCTCTAAAATGTAAATTTAAAAATATTCACTCTCTCTCTAAAACTATAAATAATTTGTTTATATATTTGAAAACTATGTACTTAAAATAGTTTAAACATTTATCCGCAAATATTCACATAGGATATAGTGTGTGTTTGGTAATAAAAAAGCAAAATAGATTTTAACAAAGCTATTGTCAACAAGTGAATATTTTTTTCATTTTATTATCATTTTATATGTTGTGTCACTTTTATCTTCATCTTATAGTTGATTTAATAATGTTATGGATGAAGTTATTCATGATTTTCTCTTTTTAAATGAAAATAAAGGTTGAATTTCTGAGAGTTGGGAAGGTTCACCACTAATGAACCAAGCCTTCCCAATTATTTTACATATTTGGTGAATATAACCAGAATCAACATGTAAAAATTGTAGTGATCTGGTGGATTGGATTGGTGAATTTACTGGGAAGGTTCACCACTAATGAACCAAGCCTTCCCAATTATTTTACATATTTGGTGAATATAACCAGAATCAACATGTAATAATTGTAGTGATCTGGTGGATTGGATTGGTGAATTTACTGGGAAGGTTCACCACTAATGAACCAAGCCTTCCCAATTATTTTACATAAATTCACCAATCCAATCCACCAGATCACTACAACTATTGCATGTTGATTCTGGTTATATAATATACTAGCCGAATGACCCGGGCAACGCCCGGGTTTTACCCGATTAAATGTTTTATTCAAATACTATTCGTTACAATTATAAATTGGCGCCGTGGATTTCACTCTTGTGAAACGTCTCGCTCCAAACTGTGTGTGTTTTTAAAATATTTTTAAAAAATGTAAATTTTCACAACGATATTTGAAAATTGTATTATTTTGAGTTTTTATATGAATATATTTTAAATTCGATATATGCATTAAATGATAGCAAGTGATTTCTTGCCCCTACGCCATCATTACGACACTCAAGGTCGTCACTCTTGTGAAACGTCCCGCTCCACCAATCCCCCGTCGCCCCACGTGGTCCATCCTTCCTCACTTTACTTCTCGAAGTTACCGCAGTGAGGCGCTGTTTGAGAGTAAAATAGGGAAAATATGTTAATAATTTGTTAATAACTTTAAGGATATTCGAGATAGGTGCCTGAAAATTTGCCTATAAGTTTTTTTCTAGATTCAACTCTATATACAGTTGAAATTTCAGCCAAATTAGTTTCGTATTGTGGACGTGTATAGCCGACAAACATACATACATACATACACCACTTATATATATATAGGGATCTGTACTTGAAGTCTTGGTGATGGTATTTAATGTAACTATAGAAAAATAGAAGTTGCCTGTCTGGCTTCCATAGTTCTTAAAATTAAAGATACTTCGGCCAGTAAATATTTTTATTATCTCGACGTTTCGACAAGAATATTTTGTCTTCGTCAGGAGCGAACAAAAATTAAAACATTTGGCAAAACGTTAAAAATTATTCTAAGATTTACTGGCCGAAGTATCTTTAATTTTAAGAGTTATAGAAAGATGCTTCTGTAATTGTATAATTTTACAAATATATTAACTTTGAGCACAGCTCTTTTACTTAAAGTACAAGATAAAAAATACAAAAGCATGTTTAGGAAACATATGTAAGCAATACATAGCGCCTTTTTGTATGTAGAGAATATTTACCAACTAACTGCGTGACCCGGACAACGCCCCAGGTTTACCCGGGTTTTTCCGCTACTTCGCGTTGTAATATCCTGCGTATTCAAAATACACATTCGAATATTTATTTCCTCAAATATTAAAATATTCAAGAAGATAATCGAGGTAATTTGTGTATGTGAATTATAATATTTTCTATCTTTAATAAAAATCATCTTTTCACATTTTCTATCTTGTCAAAAGAAGATAGCCGGTTGAATCGGGACATCCTATATAAGGTCAAAATACCAGAAGCCCCATAAACTACCCCTAATTTCGGCCAAAAGACCGCGGAGTTAGACCAAACGATCCCATTACTTCATTAAGCCTACTCCATTATGACCGATGTCGCCATTCTTCTTGGGTGAGAATGGACCAATCATCTTTAGGCTCTTCCTCCTCCTACCTTCCCTAGCTCTTGTTTGATATATTGGGATCCATCCACTGATGTGATGACATCCAATCCTGGAATAATAAATGTGGGCTTTAAATATCGATTTAAAATCGAATACTTTATAAAAATGGATTTATAGCGAGAAATACATGAGTAACCTTTCCTTTGCAGAACATGAACATATATTAAAAGCAAAATAGGCATATCCTGATAGCTCACATGAGATTTTTAGATGTTACCTAGGCTCCTGGAGCGTATCCATAGTCCTTTGCAGAATAAAAATGATCTAAAAGTTCAAAAATAACATAGATTGCAAGATTTTATTGTATTATGGCAGTGAAAAAAAAACCTTTCGGCTTAAAAGTTGTTCGTCCAGTTTGATCGAAATAAAGACTGGATTTGTCGTAAACTTAACCTCCAATGAAACACCACTTAAGGAAAATTTTTAAGTGGTCGTTTATGATAAATTCCTTTCTGTGGCACGTAATTATTTGTTAGCACTCACTCTTACTAGCCAATCCTTTTTCTAAGGAGATAACAAATTCTTCGAATGAATAAAACGGTAATTATATATATATTGGATCAACGTTTAGTTAATTTTTGTTCAAATAGATGGCGTTCTGCCATCTAAAATGGTCATGTAAATGGTCAGGATATGTATCCTTTTATTTTAAGGCCAAAACATCTGTAAGAGTGATCACACATCACATGATCCGTTTAAGTGTATAGTGTTATGTGATGCCACATAATGTGAAACAATAAATTGTAGAAATGTTGAAGGGCTTTCAACTATACGCCAATACGGATTATGTATTGCACCTACAGCTGTACTGACCTTCCCATGGGGATGAAAATAGAACGATTGATATCGGAAGACGACATGTCTCAGGAAATGGTCTTATTCTTCTTTTCATAGAAGTTTATAAACGTATTCACTGTTAAAATATAGTATATAACTTCATGATGTAAGAACATGTGGAGTCACTTCAAATGTTTAAGGACTGTCTCTGTGAACATACCGAAATTCCACTGAGCAACGGATAAATTGCAAACATATATATGACCCTTCAAATGTTTAAGACCGATTATCTCTTTATAAATACCGTACACTTCTCCATTAGGTTATTAATCACTTTAAGACCTGTGTGATCCCTTCATATGTGTATGCCCGTTAAAATACTTATTGTATTAACCTATCGATCATGGAAAGACATGTATTGATCTTACCCGTGTTTAAATTCCGTTTCCGTGAAATATATTTTCAATAAAAATAATCCCTTGTATTAATATTGAGTAAAAGTATATCAGGTCTCCAGGGAAAAGTGTATTTTCAAAACATTTTTATTCTCTAGCTATCGGGCACGGACGCCCTTCTACAGGAGAAAACATGGTATAATAATTCGCCACGAGTATCTGATTATATTTTAACTCGGTGGCGAATTACACCATGTTTTCTGTGAAAGGACGTTCGTGCTCGAAAGCTAGAGAATAAAAATATTTTTGAAAATATACTTTTCCCTGGAGGCCTGATATATGTTTACACCATATATTTTCTTTGAGCTCTTTATCATGCGAAAACATATGTTGCACTTTTACATGTTCAAGTCCTGTTTCGGGAAAGTACCATATTTTCTTTGAGCTCTGGATAAAGCAAAGATAATTGATGCCTCTATTATATATGTTCAAGACCTGATTCCGTGAAATACCATTTTTCAAGCCTATAGATCACGCGAAGACATATGCTGCCCATACACATGTGTAAGATAATTTTCTATAAAGAGAAGATATGGTTTTACGGGCTACTAACCAAAGTGTGTGATTTTTGAGCCCAAAAATGAATGTAGCAAGCAGACAAGCCGCAATACACTGTAGCATAGTACCAAGGTGCTGCACGCCACCAAGGTTATTCAAAAAAAGATTAAATTCCCCAAAAATGTTCGCGCCCGGATTCGAACCGGGGACCTTGTGCGTGTGAATCACATGTGATGACCGCTACACGCTGATTTGCTATAGGAATACCGTTTTGAACCACGGATCATGTGAAGACATGTGTACAAACGTCCCTATGTGCAGGCCTGGCTATGACGGTGGACGGCTCTCTGTATTTCGCCGATGGCTCCAACATCCGGGTGGTGGACCCCCAAGGCATCATCTCCACGGTAGTGGGGGACCGTCACGAGAAGCGGCAGTGGCGGCCCCTGCCATGTCAGGGCACCCTACCTGTGTCAGAGGTAACCAACCCTCCATGTTGATCTATATTCAGGTGGTGCTTGGAAGTACTTAAGACTAGCGTAATTTTTCGGAAGAGCTCTGAATACGTTTCCCCAATTGTCAACGTGTAAAATAACAGTGTAGTTGTTGTGTCTACGTCCTTTATACTCGTCGCCACTGTTGTGTCTCTACACTACACCAGGTCACCGAGATCCACTAGGTCTGAGATAAAATCTTTATTCGCTCATAACACTAATCTGACTGACATATTTACAATTTAATGATACATATATATACATAAAAATAATTAACATAATAACAACAAACAAACACTATGCAAAACCTTATTTGCATATCTCGACAATTTATCTAAAACATAACTATTGTTATGCAAAACACCACAGTAGTAAATAATGAAAACTTCATGAGGGTAAATCAACGCGACAAATCCATCTTCTGATCATTCAACTGAATGATTTGTTCCATCAGAAACAGGATGACAAAGGTCAACACCATAGACCAAGTTGGTTGGTTATTCTTTATTTACCAGGGAAATATGCAGTTTCTATCCAATATTTTATCGTAAAATGTCATTCCGTTAAATGGCAGTAACCATCTTGGAACGCCCAGTTATAGGATATGAAGAAATTTGAATCAAGAGGTTTCACTTGATATTCCATTGGATCCTAAGGGAGAACATCTTTATCTAATATTTCAAATAGGGAGAAAAATTGATTTTGAGTTTAGTTTATTTTATTCCTATGGATGGCAGTAACAATCTCACAACATTCAGATGCAGGATCAGAATATTGTTCAATCATTTTTAAATGGCTAACGCCCTCTATCAACAAAATTGTGATTTAAAAAGGATTATAAAAGCCTCATTATATTATAATTCTCTATTTAGATATGTGGACTTTTAAATTTTATTTTGAAATTTCTTTTGTGTGTGTGTGTTGTGCGTTACAAAACTCTTACAATTTTCAGGGTCAATCAATATTTTGCTTGCTACCGTAAAATCGTCCATAAACGTCGGATGAGCGATCGTTTCACAGAAAGACCGCTTTAGTAAAATTATAAATACTTAGAAAACTTAATTTCAAATTAGATTCAACATTTAGGATAAACCATGATTAGCCATGTTTTTACGCAGTATCCCATGGTGTTGTTGTGTTGTATTGGATTCTAAAGGAGAGTTTGGTGTTGTAAAATACGATGTGTCCAGGCCAAGCTACGGTGGCCTACAGAGCTGGCCATCAGCCCGCTGGACGGCTCTCTTCACTTCATCGACGACCACGTCGTGGTGAGGTTGACGGAGGAGGAGCGGCTGGAAGTGGCCGCGGGCACCCCGGCCTACTGCCCCGACCGTGGCCTGGGCGAGAAGTGGGCGTCGCTGGCGGGCCTGGCCTTCACCCCGCGGGAACTGCTGGTGGCCGATCTCCACTCTGTCCGCAGGGCCCGCGATGGCCGCATCCTCGCCTCCAACCTCGCCTCCGTCTCCGCCCTAGCTGCCGGACCCGACGGCAGGATCTTCGTGGCCGACCAGGGCTCTCTACGTGTCTACGCTGCCGAGCCTTATCTCCCTTCTGTCTCAGCTGGGGAAGTCCAAGTCGCTGATGGAGATAATGTCCTCGTGTTTGATCGGCACGGTCGTCATCTGTCAACTAAGTCTCTGGTGACAGATCGAATCCTATATTCCTTCCACTACAGTCCGGCCAATACGTCGTTCGGAAGGCTAAGTGCTGTGACGGACTCGCGAGGCAATAAACTGACCTTACTGAGGGATCCTGCACATCGGGTCTACGCGATGGAGACGCCGCGAGGACGTAGGATTTCTGTGAGGCTATCCACATCAGGCTGGCTTGAATCCTTGGAGAGTGAGACCTTCCGCTATGACCGTCGTGGATTGCTAGTTGGCAGGACGGACCGTGCCGGAAGAGTGATGCAGTTCCGATATGGCCCTGCAGGACGTGTTGAAGCTGCAGTATCGCCATGTGGCGCTGCGACCTTGTTGGGAGGGCAGGACGCTGGGCTGAGGTCTTGGGCGAGGGAGCCGGGCCACGCGGAAGTCTGGGCAGAGATCGGACCAAGCATTGTCTTCCTCTCCATGGGACCGTTGAAGTTGGGGCTGAACACAGATGCCCTTGGAGCGGCCTACAGCTCGGACTCTCGCCTGGTGCTGAGGACAGAAGCCAGTCCGCTGGCCCGGGCCGAGCTACCGCCCGGACAGGCCGAAGTCCTGCCCCAGCCCACCGCCCAGGTCCGGGGGTCCGTGGATGTCCGCTGGGAGATTGTTCCTCGCCGAGATCGACGCTCGGACCTCATCCAAGCTGTGGACAGAACCCTAGCGGTAAGAGCCCCAAATCTTCGTATTCCTTTCTCACAAATAGATTTGGGCGAAATGTTAATATATATTTTTCTTTTCAGTGAGTTTCTTTTTTATATAAAAAAAAATTCGCAATTTTACCTCAAATCATGGATAAAATGCAAATAAAAATGTTGAAGTTCAGTTAGCTAAGAAAAATACGCCTGTAGGCGAGTAATTACACTCTAAAACATGCGAATTTCAAACAGATTAATAAATAAACATTTATTGCGGGGATCACTATTTTCTTTATAGATATTGTTTATATCTGATATATTTAACTCTATTTGAACACGAATTTAAATTTTAGAGAAAAGGGTAAAGGTAAAACATCTGTGAAAAAAATTTCGGATTATACCACAATTCCAAGATCTTTTTTTCTTCTCTTGTCCAAAAATATAGAAAGACAAAGAAAAACAGGGTAGTAATCTACTAAATATCATCTCATGATTATGAATGTCAAAACTAAAACTCGGCTTTAGGAAATCAAGAGGAACTTCTACATTACATCTTTATTTCAAGAGAATCTCTGTAGTATCCTGGGTGTAAAGATTTCGCTTGATTTGAATTAGACATTTCCTCTCAATATATCTTATTCCTGGTGTGAATTAGTTATAGACAATCCAAACATTTTCTCGTATGTAATTATTCTTTCGCATACACTCATAGACAATACTTAAGGAAGTTGTACCTTTCAGCATGTATATCGGTAGTCACTGAAAGATATTACAGTGACCTTTATTGAAGAAACACGAGATAACCAAGTGTGAACAAAATTGCCTCTGTTTCCTTCACAAAAAAGACAACCGGCGACTTCAAAGACATTCCACTTCCTTAATTTTTCTCCATGAGGGTATATATAAAGATAATTATCTTCTAAGAGAAAGGTAAAAACAAAATTCTTAATTCTTCTTTTAAACAGGCAATCGTTACTCCACAAGGTCTAGTAGAGTTTTCTGAGCTAATCATCAAATAGCACAATGACAGTTCGTTTGAAGAGAAAATCATTGTTGCACTTTAGGTTTTTTTTTTTTTTTTGGCATAGCGATGGAGATATAACATTTGTATATCAGCCTTCCTGGCCAAGAATATCTGTAAATATTACTACTGGGTAGAATAAAATACACAATTCGAGGTGAAGAGCTTCTTTTACACTTGCCTTCAAGCAAGATGCCTTTTTACGGCGTCAAGTTCGTCTTGCCCGAAAGCTTGCACGATCGTCTTCATATAAAAGAAGCTCTTCTCCCTGACTTGTCTTTCTTCTTCTATAGAGAATAGGGAGATTATCGTTGTGTTAAATACTAGCGTGTGTACTGTAGGTGAACGGCAGCCAGTGGGTGAGGCTGGAGTACGACCGCACGGCAGGCAGAGAGATGGTTTTCAATGGCTCGGGCCGTCCCAGCCTGGCCGTACAGTTTGACCCGCAGGGCCGCGCGGTGCGATGGCTGGCAGCGGCCCAGCCTGCTCTCCTGGCCTCCGCCGCCTACCTCCCGGGCCGTCCTGCAGCAGCGCAGCGGGCCGACCTCGCCCGGGCCTTCACCTACGACCGTCTGGGCAGGTTGACGGAGCTGCGGACGCCCGACGGCAATTCGCTACGGCTTGAGTACCGCCCGGATGGCCGGCCTAGCGACGGGGTGAGTGGATATTTAGCTGATGGTAGTAGGGTACTCGGCGTTGATGTCTACCTGAGATTGTCTTTCGCATTTCGCCTCTAAATTCTATTCAATTCCCATTGTTGCTCCTAGTTCTCATCCAATTTCTAATTGTTTTCCATCGCCTTCTATCCAATCTCCTATTGTTGCTCATCAATTCGTTTACAATTTCCAATTGTTGCCCATCGCCTTATATCCAATTTCCAATTGTTGCCCATTGCCTTCTATCCAATTTCCCATTGTTGCCTCCCGCTTCTATGCAATTTTCATTGTTATCATTTCGTCTATCAGCAATTTTATCCTATACTCTACAAAGATGGAATGAGCTTCGTACCCAACACACAAACAATTAGCATTCCCTTTGACAAGGATGTAATACCCTTTGGAACCAACATTTACTAAATCTTTGGTAGAATATTATTCTACTCCTGCATCATCACAAGAACAGTTCAAATTTCCTCATAAATCACTAGCAAAAGTATCCTCCCTTCTGTAGCGAGAGCACGCGAGCGACTTTAAACATGGCGGAAACGGTGAAGTATTGCTGCGATCTGGACATCTCGGTGGTGTCAGCCAACTTCGAGAAGCGGGGCTGGAGTCCCGTGGGCTCGGACGAGGACTGGAACGTGTATTGGGCTTCTGTCCTCACCATCCGTAACATCTTCAACCCCGAGAACGGCTACAAGCTGAGGGAACGCCAGATCATCAACCATTTCCCGACCTACCAGGAACTTACCCGCAAGGATTACATCGTTAAGAACATCAACAGATA